AGCTTCTATTACCATCAGACTGTTGAACAGCTTCTATTACCATCAGACTGTTGAACAGCTTCTATTACCATCAGACTGTTGAACAGCTTCTATTACCATCAGACTGTTGAACAGCTTCTATTACCATCAGACTGTTGAACAGCTTCTATTACCATCAGACTGTTGAACAGCTTCTATTACCAGACCATCAGACTGTTGAACAGCTTCTATTACCATCAGACTGTTGAACAGCTTCTATTACCATCAGACTGTTGAACAGCTTCTATTACCATCAGACTGTTGAACAGCTTCTATTACCATCAGACTGTTGAACAGCTTCTATTACCATCAGACTGTTGAACAGCTTCTATTACCATCAGACTGTTGAACAACTTCTATTACCATCAGACTGTTGAACAGCTTCTATTACCATCAGACTGTTGAACAGCTTTCTATTACCAGACCATCAGAACTGTTGAACAGCTTCTATTACCATCAGACTGTTGAACAGCTTCTATTACCATCAGACTGTTGAACAGCTTTTATTACCATCAGACTGTTGAACAGCTTCTATTACCATCAGACTGTTGAACAGCTTCTATTACCATCAGACTGTTGAACAGCTTCTATTACCATCAGACTGTTGAACAGCTTCTATTACCATCAGACTGTTGAACAGCTTCTATTACCAGACCATCAGACTGTTGAACAGCTTCTATTACCATCAGACTGTTGAACAGCTTCTATTACCATCAGGCTGTTGAACAGCTTCTATTACCAGACCATCAGACTGTTGAACAGCTTCTATTACCAGGCCATCAGACTGTTGAACAGCTTCTATTACCAGACCATCAGACTGTTGAACAGCTTCTATTACCATCAGACTGTTGAACAGCTTCTATTACCATCAGACTGTTGAACAGCTTCTATTACCATCAGACTGTTGAACAGCTTCTATTACCATCAGACTGTTGAACAGCTTCTATTACCATCAGACTGTTGAACAGCTTCTATTACCATCAGACTGTTGAACAGCTTCTATTACCATCAGACTGTTGAACAGCTTCTATTACCATCAGACTGTTGAACAGCTTCTATTACCATCAGACTGTTGAACAGCTTCTATTACCATCAGACTGTTGAACAGCTTCTATTACCATCAGACTGTTGAACAGCTTCTATTACCATCAGACTGTTGAACAGCTTCTATTACCATCAGACTGTTGAACAGCTTCTATTACCAGACCATCAGACTGTTGAACAGCTTCTATTACCATCAGACTGTTGAACAGCTTCTATTACCATCAGACTGTTGAACAGCTTCTATTACCATCAGACTGTTGAACAGCTTCTATTACCATCAGACTGTTGAACAGCTTCTATTACCATCAGACTGTTGAACAGCTTCTATTACCATCAGACTGTTGAACAGCTTCTATTACCATCAGACTGTTGAACAGCTTCTATTACCAGACCATCAGACTGTTGAACAGCTTCTATTACCATCAGACTGTTGAACAGCTTCTATTACCATCAGACTGTTGAACAGCTTCTATTACCATCAGACTGTTGAACAGCTTCTATTACCATCAGACTGTTGAACAGCTTCTATTACCATCAGACTGTTGAACAGCTTCTATTACCATCAGACTGTTGAACAGCTTCTATTACCATCAGACTGTTGAACAACTTCTATTACCAGATCATCAGACTGTTGAACAGCTTCTATTACCAGATCATCAGACTGTTGAACATCTTCTATTACCATCAGACTGTTGAACAGCTTCTATTACCATCAGACTGTTGAACAGCTTCTATTACCATCAGACTGTTGAACAACTTCTATTACCAGATCATCAGACTGTTGAACAGCTTCTATTACCAGACCATCAGACTGTTGAACAGCTTCTATTACCATCAGACTGTTGAACAACTTCTATTACCAGATCATCAGACTGTTGAACAGCTTCTATTACCAGATCATCAGACTGTTGAACATCTTCTATTACCATCAGACTGTTGAACAACTTCTATTACCAGATCATCAGACTGTTGAACAGCTTCTATTACCAGACCATCAGACTGTTGAACAGCTTCTATTACCATCAGACTGTTGAACAGCTTCTATTACCAGACCATCAGACTGTTGAACATCTTCTATTACCATCAGACTGTTGAACAGCTTCTATTACCATCAGACTGTTGAACAGCTTCTATTACCAGACCATCAGACTGTTGAACAGCTTCTATTAACATCAGACTGTTGAACAGCTTCTATCACCAGACCATCAGACTGTTGAACAGCTTCTATTACCATCAGACTGTTGAACAGCTTCTATCACCAGACCATCAGACTGTTGAACAGCTTCTATTACCATCAGACTGTTGAACAGCTTCTATTACCATCAGGCTGTTGAACAGCTTCTATTACCAGACCATCAGACTGTTGAACAGCTTCTATTACCAGGCCATCAGACTGTTGAACAGCTTCTATTACCAGACCATCAGACTGTTGAACAGCTTCTATCACCAGACCGTCAGACTGTTGAACAGCTTCTATTACCAGATCATCAGACTGTTGAACAGCTTCTATTACCATCAGACTGTTGAACAACTTCTATTACCATCAGACTGTTGAACAGCTTCTATTACCATCAGACTATTGAACAGCTTCTATTACCAGACCATCAGACTGTTGAACAGCTTCTATTACCAGGCCATCAGACTGTTGAACAGCTTCTATTACCAGCCCATCAGACTGTTGAACAGCTTCTATTACCATCAGACTTTTGAACAGCTTCTATTACCATCAGACTTTTGAACAGCTTCTATTACCATCAGACTTTTGAACAGCTTCTATTACCATCAGACTGTTGAACAGCTTCTATTACCATCAGACTGTTGAACAGCTTCTATTACCATCAGACTGTTGAACAGCTTCTATTACCAGACCATCAGACTGTTGAACAGCTTCTATTACCATCAGACTGTTGAACAGCTTCTATTACCATCAGACTGTTGAACAGCTTCTATTACCAGACCATCAGACTGTTGAACAGCTTCTATTACCATCAGACTGTTGAACAGCTTCTATTACCATCAGACTGTTGAACAGCTTCTATTACCATCAGACTGTTGAACAGCTTCTATTACCATCAGACTGTTGAACAGCTTCTATTACCATCAGACTGTTGAACAGCTTCTATTACCAGGCCATCAGACTGTTGAACAGCTTCTATTACCAGACCATCAGACTGTTGAACAGCTTCTATCACCATCAGACTGTTGAACAGCTTCTATTACCATCAGACTGTTGAACAGCTTCTATTACCATCACACTGTTGAACAGCTTCTATTACCATCAGACTGTTGAACAGCTTCTATTACCATCAGACTGATGAACAGCTTCTATTACCATCAGACTGATGAACAGCTTCTATTACCATCAGACTGTTGAACAGCTTCTATCACCAGACCATCAGACTGTTGAACAGCTTCTATTACCATCAGACTGTTGAACAGCTTCTATCACCAGACCATCAGACTGTTGAACAGCTTCTATTACCATCAGACTGTTGAACAGCTTCTATTACCAGACCATCAGACTGATGAACAGCTTCTATTACCATCAGACTGTTGAACAGCTTCTATTACCATCAGACTGTTGAACAGCTTCTATTACCATCAGACTGTTGAACAGCTTCTATTACCAGACCATCAGACTGTTGAACAGCTTCTATTACCATCAGACTGTTGAACAGCTTCTATTACCATCAGACTGTTGAACAGCTTCTATTACCATCAGACTGTTGAACAGCTTCTATCACCAGACCATCAGACTTTTGAACAGTCATCACTGGCCGTCTACCAGGTGATGCAAACACATTCACACAAAACACGCACACACACAAGCTATCAAACACACACACACACATACACAAACACACACACATAGCCAACGCTAATGTCCCATGTTTTTATATTGTTATTCATTTTTGTCTTTGGTCTTTTTTATTTGTCATTTCTTTTTTGACCCCTTTTTCTCCCCAAGAGGTAGTTACAGTCTTGTCCCATCTTGTCCCATCACTGCAACTCCCGAGAGCCATGCGTCCCCCGAAACATGACCCTGCCAAGCCACATTGCTTCTTGACACACTGCCTGCTTAACCCGGATGCCAGCCGCCATTGTGTTGGAGGAAACACTGTAGAGCTGGCGACCGAAGTCAACGTGCATGCGTCTAGTCGCCACAAGGAGTCGCTAGAGCACGATGGAACAAGGACATCCCAGCCGGCAAAACCCTCCCCTAACCCAGACGACGCTGAGCCAATTGTGCACCGCCTCATGGGTCTCCCAGTCGCGACACAGCCCGGGATCGAAACCGGATCTGTAGTGACGCCTCTAGCACTGATCAGTGCCTTAGACCGCTGCGCCACTCGAGAGGCCTAATGTCCCATGTTATAGAGACAATAAACCACTGGACACTCCCGGTTTACACTGTGTATTTAAATACTGTATTCTCGACATACCTGTAGCTCATTCTAATATTTATACTATTGTACATCGCATTTTAGTGACACCTTATACACACCGCAGTTCACTCTAATATATCTACTGCTGTACATATAATTCTTAGTATATCTTGTATAAATTAATCCAGTGTAGATACTTATAGATTGCATTTGGACTACTGTTACAGTGTTATTTGGGTTATTAATTGGATCCGTTCCAACATTTCTTTCTTTCTAAATTTGTTTAATTATCTGTGACATTTTACTGAATTTAGGAGCTAGTAACATAAGCATTTCGCTGCACCCGCTATAACATCTTCTAAACTGTATACGGGACCAATAAACTTTGATTTGATTTGATCTGTGTCTATGTCTCTGTTTGTTTGACAGAGAATATGTGTGTGTGTGTGTGTGCATGTGAATGTGAATCAAGTCATGTGAGCAGCTTACCACAGTGCTGCCGTTGTTCATGTTCTGTGTGTCTTTGTGAGCGTGGGCGCAGAAATCCACACATGCTGTGACCCCGGAGAAAGGTCGGCCCGCCCTCCGACCCAGCCTGCAGTCCTGGCCCGCCTGCTCCAGATCCACCTGGTTTTGGAAAGCCTCCGGGGCCAGTCTCTGGTAGACAGGACCCAGGTCTGTAGCCAGGTTCTGCAGACGATGCTCCAGCTTCTCCTCCTGAACAACACACAGACAGACACAGATCAGAGGTAGAGTGGGACAAATACGAATAGGAACAGATGTTAAAGGAGAATCCCAGAAATGTTTCAGCCACTGTTGTCCTCGTCTGACTTTGGTTGTCATACCCACCTGAGGCCACTAGGTGGTGTCTATTAACCATTTTAACATGCCAAGAAGACTATTCACTGAGGAATATCTATTCTAAACCATTGTTTGTAAAGCTAGAACAAGACTTAGATTAGCAAAGCAAAGAGCTAGGGTCTAGGCATATAGGGAAGGGGCTAGGGTTTATTTTCTGACCAGGCTCTCAAATCAATTCCTGGAGCGCCACATTGTCTGCTGCTTTATCGCTCTTTCCCTTAACCTTAAGATAGCTCTGACCTGACCAAATTCACTTAGAAATGTCAGTTATAGATCTGTCAGTCTCATTGAAAGCAAGTCTAAGAAGCGGTAGATCTGTTCTATGTGCAGTATTTCTATGCTTCCCATTCTTAAGTTTCGTTTTGGCGTCTTTTACTTTCGGTTTTGTACACCAGCTTCAAACAGCTGAAAATACAATATTTTTGGTTATGGAAAATATATTTCACAGCGGTTTAGATGGTACATTGATTCTCTACACTATACTTGCTTGTTTTGTAACATAAACTAAAATTAGGCGAACGATTTGAATTTTAGCAACCAGGAAATGGCAGAGCGATTTCTGCATAGTGCATCTTTAAGTAGGCAAATAAGTGCAAGGATGAAAATCTGCTGCCACTGTGGCTGGCCCTAGAGGACTGGAGTTTGACACAGTTTGACTGGAGTGTCCTGGTCCTAACCTCCTGCGGTACGTCTCCCAGCAGGCGGAACTTGCGGGGGATCTTGCTGCGGGCGAACTTGCAGCCGTTGAAGTACATACTCCAGGAGCAGCCGAAGGAGAAGGAAGCGCCGCAGGTGTCCGGGTCCACACCCTGGCAAGCACACGTCCGACTGGAGAGAGAGGAGGAGGGAGAGAGATGGGGAGAGGGAGGAGAGAGATGAGGAGGAGATAGAGAGGAGAGAGAGGGAGAGGGAAGAGAGAGAGGAGGGAGAGAGGGGTGAGGGAGAGGAGAGGAAGGAGAGAGGGGAGGGAGGGGAGAGAGGTGAGAGGGAGGAAGAATGGGTAGAAGAGGGAGAGAGAGAGGAGAGAAGGGGAGAGGGCTCGAGGTGGGGAGGGGGAACGGGAGGAGGTTGCGTCTTTGCTTTGGGTGGGTTTCAGCTGTCCGTCTTGGTCTCTCTCTTTCCTTGCTTCGTGCTTGCGTTCGCTCTCTTGGGTTTCTTATCGCGCTTGCGGAGGGGAGGCTCTCGCTTTTTCTTCTTGGGCATCGTCTTACTTCGTGTCTCGGTCTCTGTTTCTCGTCGCTCGCCGCGTTCGCGCCTGGGCGCGTGGTTTTCGCTTGTTTTCTGTGCTGCCGAGAGAGTGGGGATGATGTGGACAATCAGTTTAGATCCTGGCACACAATTGCAACTGAAGAGAGCGGGAAAGAGACAGGTCACTATCTAGAAATGCTAGAAAGAAAATAACTCACTCCGTTGTTATGACAATAATTTGTTCTATGAATGTAAATGTTTATGTGTAAGCCTGTTATAAATAATACGTATAAGTCTGTTGTTTCAGTAACTCACTCCTCGTTGAGGGCACAGCGCCGGCTGGTGGGGGAGCCGTATTTACAGAGAGTCTGGGTGAGCTCCTGGTACAGACTGTCTGCCATGCCCCGGGGGATGCCCTCCCATGCCAAGATGAGGATCACAACCACAGCACTCTCACAGCGGTGCCCTGCTCGGTGTCTCACGAGACACAGCAGCTTCTCCTCCTCACTGCCCCGTCGGATCACCTGGGAGAGAGAGGGGTTACTACACAGACATGCAGATACACACACACACACACACACAGACAGACACGCACACAAGGTACTTACCCACTTGGCGATGGGACAGCCCTGGGAACTGCGTCCTTCTTTCCCAGTGTACACCACCACCTCCATTCCTTACTGCCTTCCCTTTCTCTCCATACCTTTAAACACCCACAGCAATAACATGCATCATATATTAATGACGTTTCACACTTCTCACCTTAGAACACACACACAATCCTTTCAGTAACATCATCTCTCCCAACACTTAAATCTTGCAATGACTGTCAATACAGCCACAAATCACATTTTGAGAACGCTAGCAAAAGACAGTGGGACTACATTACTAGCCAAAATGCAGCAATAGTTTTTGGAATAACTCAAAACCAGTAAAAACTGTTTAAAACTAGGGCACTGATGTCATTCAGCAGAAACTACAGAGCAGAGAGACTCTCCTCATGGACATCGACTCGGCCCTAGAGGTTTCCTGTTCTAACACGCAGGGTGTGTGTGTGTTTTTGTATGTGGGAATATGTATCTCTGTGTGTGTGTGTGTTGCCAGCTTGGTGCTGCTTTCCTTCAACGACAGCCTCTATAATATATGAGCTATACTATTACTGAAAGCCCCACCTCATTCCATGAACACCAGGAGCCCTGTGGGAGACCAGGCCTTTGGCAGGGCAGGTGGTTCACACAGGAATATACACAGAGTGTACAAAACATTAAGAACACCTTCCTAATATTGAGTTGCACCCCCCACCCCTTTTGCCCTCAGAACAGCCTCAATTCGTCGGGGCATGTACTCTACAAGGTGTCAAAAGCGTTCTACAGGGACGCTGGCCCATATTGACTCCAATGCTTCCCACAGTTGTGTCAAGTTGGCTGGATGTCCTTTGGGTGGTGGACAATTCTTGATACACACGGGAAACTGTTGAGCATGAAAAACCCAGCAGCGGTGCAGTTCTTGACACAAACCGGTGCGCCTGGCACCTACTATCATACCTCGTTCAAAGGCACTTAAATCTTTTGTCTTTCCCATTCACCCTCTGAATGGCACACTTACACACATACACAATCCATGGCTCAATTGTATCACGGCTTAAATATCCTTATTTAACCTGTGTCCTCCCCTTCATCTACACCGATTGTAGTGGATTTAACAAGTGACATCAATAAGGGATCATAGCTTTCACCTGGATTCACCTGGTCAGTCTGTCATGGAAAGAGCAGGAGTTTTGTATACTCGGTGTATATACAGTCGTGGTCAAAAGTATTGGTCTTCACAAAGTTTGCTGCTTCAGTGTTTTTAGATATTTTTGTCAGATGTTACTATGGTATACTGAAGTATAATTACAAGCATTCCATAAGTGTCAAAGGCTTTTATTGACAATTACATTAAGTTTATGCAAAGAGTCAATATTTGCAGTATAGACCTCTGCAATCCGCCCTGGCATGCTGTCAATTAACTTCTGGGCCACATCCTGACTGATGGCAGCCCATTCTTGCATAATCAATGCTTGGAGTTTGTCAGAATTTGTGGATTTTTGTTTGTCCACCCGCCTCTTGAGGATTGACCACAAGTTCTCAATGGGATTAAGGTCTGGGGAGTTTCCTGGCCATGGACCCAAAATGTCGATGTTTTGTTCCCCGAGCCACTTAGTTAACACTTTTGCCTTATGGCAAGGTGCTCCATCATGCTGGAAAAGGCATTGTTCGTCACCAAACTGTTCTTGGATGGTTGGGAGAAGTTGCTCTCGGAGGGATGTGTTGGTACCATTCTTTATTCATGGCTGTGTTCTTAGGCAAAATTGTGAGTGAGCCCACTCCCTTGGCTGAGAAGCAACCCCACACATGAATGGTCTCAGGATGCTTTACTGTTGGCATGACACAGGACTGATGGTAGTGCTCACCTTGTCTTCTCCAGACAAGCTTTTTTCCGGATGCCCCAAACAATCAAAAAGGGAATTCATCAGAGAAAATGACTTTACCCCAGTCCTCAACAGTCCAATCCCTGTACCTTTTGCAGAATATCAGTCTGTCCCTGATGTTTTTCCTGGAGAGAAGTGGCTTCCTCGCTGCCCTTCTTGACACCAGGACATCCTCCAAAAGTCTTCGCCTCACTGTGCGTGCAGATGCACTCACACCCTGCCTGCAGCCATTCCTGAGCAAGCTCTGCACTGGTGGTGCCCCAATCCCGCAGCTGAATCAACTTTAGGAGACGGTCCTGGCGCTTGCTGGACTTTCTTGGGCGCCCTGAAGCCTTCTTCACAACAATTGAACCTCTCTCCTTGAAGTTCTTGATGATCCGATAAATGGTTGATTTAGGTGCAATCTTACTAGCAGCCTTATCCTTGCCTGTGAAGCCCTTTTTGTGCAAAGCAGCTGGTCCTTTTGTGGCAGGGCTGAAATGCAGTGGAAATGTTTTTGGGGGATTAAGTTCATTTTCATGGCAAAGAGGGACTTTGAAATTAATTGCAATTCATCTGATCACTCTTCATAACATTCTGGAGTATATGCAAATTGCCATCATAAAAACTGAGGCAGCAGACTTTGTGAAAATTAATATTTGTGTCATTCTCAAAACTTTTGACCACGACTGTACAGCCGGCTGTTCCAGAATTATATATCTATATTTTTTACGACATTTTTTATTTTGTAATTTTTTAGTTGGAGGGGTTACAGGTACAATATTTAAATTCATATAATTTCATATTCCATATATCGTCATTATTTCATATATTGTACCTGTGGGCTGCCACTTGGAAGAAAAATAAAAAAAGGGAAAAATCAAATGAAAAACATTACAAAAGGTACATAACTACAAAGTATTGATAATTTTGATCATATTTTAAAGTTTAAGTAATAATACATTCTGTACAAACATGAAAATAAAACAAAAAAGAAGTGGGCCTCGACACCCAACCTCCCATCCCATTCCTCCAAACATAGTCAAGTATATTTGTCCAGGCCTCAATTGTTCCTTGACTTGCACCATTCATTCTCGCTGTCGATAATTCTAATGTTAGAACTTCTAATAGTAAATTAGTATAGTATCCACTGGTGAATTGGGAGAGAGTGGGGGTGATTGCCATCTAAGAGCCAACATATTTTTTTTGCGCCAGTTCTGCCTGCAGCAGTAATCATCTCTGATTGATTGAGAGATTCAAGGAGCTATCATCGTTAAGTAACATAGTAGATGTAAAGCATTGGATATTTACATTCATGCACTTCTAAATTAACTTTGCCCCAGAAGCATTTAACTGCAGGGCACTTCCACATCCATATTCTGTTCCAGGTAGCCCTTTACAATCGTACCCGTATACGGGTTAAAAATGGCAGATTTGGACACTGATGTATAGTTACAAGATGACATAGCATCATACCCTGGGTTGTTCTAAACAGAATGACCTTATGTTTGTCTGTTGTGAAGAACATTTGCTGCGGACCACGCATCTGAATGCACTCATGACTCCATTCTATGCGCACCAAAATTACAATCTGCTTCTCTGAAATGCATTGTGAAAGCCTAACACTGTAAGATCGTATTTTATATAATTTAGCTAATCATGTTGGCTCTATAAGCTTTCAAATCATGCCCACCTGACCCAGATTGTGATTTATAATGGACCATTTTGGATTGCGTAAACAACACCAGTAATTGTGTAAAGGAGGGGATGCAGGGCTATGTTCCAAATAAAACAACTACCAGTGTGCTGCTCTAGTTCCTCAACAGCACAGCTAGGAGAGCTCAAACAAGCACCTTATAGTTGAAGACTCTTTGAGTCATAAAAGTGCATTGAAATGACTTAGGAACTGTGCACACTTTGGAGAGGTGTGTGGCCACTTGGGGACACCAGTTAGTCCTCTCACTCAAACAAACCCTTGTAATTTTTTTGTCTTATGTTGCACATTTTACAGGAATATTCTTATCATGTTACTGAATGTATCCAGAGTATTTTCCAATTTTGTTATCAACAAATGCGGCGAAAAGTACAGTAAATGTCAAATGCACATAAAATCAACAGTGTAATGTTTGGATTCAGTGTTGTGTCAGGTGAACTGTTATGTCCTCACCCTTAGTCTAATAATTTTCCCATAATCTCTAAACTGTTCCCTTTTAATTGCTACCATGGTTATGCTTTCCATATTTCTTCTCAAAGAAACATTTCAATTTAGGCCAATTCACCCTATCCATATAGGCCAATTCACCCGAAAGTAAGGGGTTAAAGGGTTTTTACAGATTCTATTAGATCTGTGGACCATACATTTTTAATGGCTAGCTCAGAATATGAGCTTTCCTAAAGTTGTTTATATATTATAGAGATCAGTCCTTTCGGGAGCCCAGATAGTTTATTTATAAATCCCATCATTGGACGGTTCAGCAGTTGGGTTTCCCAAGGGACTCCATAGGCCATAATAGATGACCTAAGTTGTAAATATAGAAAAAAGGAGTTGGCTGGTATTGTGTTTGTATCTTTCTCAAACCATTACTATCCATGATATTGGCAAGAGTACAGATTCCCCATTTGGACCACTGGAGGGATGCAAAAGGCCGCCCTCTAGATCGCAAGGCATGTACCAAACATTTAGAAAAATATACAGCTACATACAGTAGGTTAATAAAGTCAGGCAGTTATACAGATTAGCCTAGCTCTATAAGCCTACTGGTAAACCAACCTGTGAGGCACTGAGCCACTCCTGTTTTCATATCAACTCTATTATCTTATCAGTATTACACAGCTAATAGATTTGTCATGAAAACAGAAGTGGATTAGCACCTCACAGGTTTGCCATCCCAATGGGACTATGAATGCAGGAAGTAAAATGGCTGTGCAACAAGAAACACTTGTTTTACCCCCAAGCTTGTTTATGGAATGGAATAAAATAACTGATGCAGTTTGTCTTATTTGTTGTTGTTACCTGTTCTCCATCATCTCTCTGACGGCTGACACACTGGGTCCAGCACCAAGATGAGTGTAATACGGACCCTCCTCCTTCTCTACGATGTGCTCTGTGGAGAAAGAGTAGTTTGTAGAACGCATCTTCAGCTGATTTCAGGCAAACAAATGGTATATCCTTAGATGTGACAAATACAGCACCAGTTAACCACAGTAGAGTATGTAGCATGCTGTATTACACCAAATAATTTCCCAAAGGATACAAAGAAAGCCATCATCATCATCATCATCATCATCATCATCATCATCATCATCACCACCATCATCATCATCACCATCATCATCATCCATCTTCATCATCATCATCAGGGTGACTCACCCATGCAGCCACAGGAGGGGATCTCAGAGAGTTTCTTGGAGGGGGTGCTGAGCAGATTCTTAGTGGGCGTGTCCAGGAACCTGAGGGGCGATTCCAGGAAGCTGTTCACGTTGTGTTTGGTGGGCGTCGACTCCTCCGATAGATCCAAATCGGCGTTAGTTGACGTGGACAAGACGGTGACCGGACCGGACCTCTCCACTTTGTAATGCCCCTGCTGTTGACCCCCAGAGGAGTAGCCGTTGGATAAACCATGGTTCAACCCGGATCTGTGGTTGTTAGAATCTAAACTGGTGAAACTGGGGTTGGTGGAGCTAGCCTTTAGGTTAGCACCGTGCTGCTGCCCAACATAGGGCTGCGATACATGAGAATACAATCCTCTTTCACACTCATGTCCGTGTCCAACTCCTTGTCCTTGTAAAGGGTCCAGGTGACCGTTGAAATGCGACCACTGTTGGTTGTCATGACCATAACCTTGACTTCGGCCACGATCGACGGCTCCAGAGGTTTTGTGGTATTTGACCCCACTGTGGGCGTTACTGTAGTAAAAGAGCTGCCGTCGTTCCTCCTGAGCCTCAGTCAGGTACCTCTTCAGATCCATCTGGGCATGAGGCAGGAACAGGCTCCTCTTGTGGCTGAGCGATGATGCCTTCGGCTTGGGCAGAACCTTCTGGACCCTTGCTCTGTGGGGGGTCTTGCCGTTGGGTGTTCGTTTGGACAGGGGGGTATGGTTGTTGGGGTTGTAGCCCTCCTCTTCCACCCCCTCCATCCCTTTCTTCTTCCTAGGTTTGGAAAGTGTGGTCCTGGGTTTCTTCACAGGGTTCTTCTTGTGGTTGGGGGGTGCATGTTGGGAGTTGTAGTTGTACTTGATGGCCGAGACTGGAGTTCCTCTGGGAGGGTTGTTCTCCGAGTGCTGGGAGGGGTGGAAACCCTGCTGCTGCTTATGACGTGATTGGATGATGAACGCCAACTCGGCAAGTTGAGCCGCCACCTCTTCCTCATCCCTGTTCCTCCCGCTCTTATCCACCGTCCTCTCTGTTGTTTCCTTGCTGTTCTTCTCCATGTCTTTCCGTTCTCTGAAAGTGCCTTCGCCCCTGTTATGTTGAGAACCAAGGCCTTGGTCTGCTCTCCTGTACAGGTGTTGTCCTCCTCTCTCAGTGCTGTTGTAGGGAAGTCTGTCACAGTCCGAGCTGGCTTCTAGCAGGTCCTGTAGGGACAGGTTGCCAGTGGCAGTGGGGCTATGGGAATGACACTGGATGACATGAGCCTGTCTGGCCACCGGGAAGCGTATGACTGAGGTCTGGTGTAGAGGGGAGCATATGACTGAGGTCTGGTGCAGAGGGGAGCTGATCACTAGAACTTTGTTGGAGTCCTGGAGAAGGGTGTTTCTGTTGGATAAGTGCATGGAGGGTGTGGTGGGGTTTTCACCCTGTGCGTCAGGTCTAAAGGGTTCTGGGGAGTTTTGTGGTATAGCTGCCAGTAAGGTTAGCGCCTCGATAGCGATAGCCTGGTCATTGCTAATATTCCTATCTTCTACCAAAGACTGGATGCTTGGCTGAGAGAGATCTGGAGAGGGTTGCTCTCGTTTGACAATAATGTCGAGAGCTTTTCGTGGACTGATGGGCTTGATCAATGATGATTGGCTTTTCAGGCAAATGTCCTCCTTAAAGTCCTCCTTAAAGTCCTCCGGCTCTGTTTTGAATGAGTGTAGCACCGGGGAACGGGAGCTACACAACTTCTCCTCCAGACCCTTCCTGTCTGTGATAGAGAAACACACCACAGCTGCTAGCGTGGACAAAGCGTCCTCATAGACATCGTCATCATCGCCCCCTAGTGGGGTGGAGGACTGGTCCATGGACCACACCCACGGTTCCTCCAACTTTATCTTCTTCAGAGGAACAGCTATGGTGTCGTCCGGAAGTGCATCCTCCAGCTCAGAGCTGCCTTTGGGGAACGTGTTTTTTGTAGTATTTTGGGACTCTGGTGACACCGGATCTGAATCCGGACCGGCAATCAGTTGAGCACCGTTGGTTTTAGCCATGTTTTCATTAGCACCGTTGTGAAAAGTCCCAGAAGAAGTGCAGTGGTGTTGTAGAAGAAGTCCATCGTTGGTGTCCTCCAGTCCAGGCTCTCTCTTGATAAGTGCTGCTGGTCGGCCATCGTTGGTGTCCTCCAGTCCAGGCTCTCTCTTGATAAGTGCTGCTGGTAGTCCATCACGGATTGGGGCAAGAGTGTGGGTGTGGGGAGGGTGTGTGAAGTGGTGTGTGTGAGGTATGTGACCCTCCTCGTCGTCCTCCGCTGCTGTATAGGTGTCCTCTGCCATCTGGACTGGGCCTCTGCCATTAACTGAGCTGTCCTCTGGAACCACCTGGGAGAGAAGAGAAAGAGAGAAGGAGAGAGAAAAGAGAGGGGAGAGAGAGATAGAGAGAGAGAGAGAGAGCGAAGAAAGAAAGAGAGAGCC